TTGCAAGTCAAACTTACCTATTAAGAATTCTCTTTCTTTTGAAATTCTTCTTTTACAAGTCTTCTTGTCCATCAAACAATATCTGACAAATCTAAAAAAATCTCTAACAAATTTCAAACAAATCTCTTATTGGATTTGAGTCGATATTCCCAACAATCTCCACCTTGACTCAAATTCCATCAATCATCTGTCTTCATGCTAGACATGCTTGGCTCCACCTACAATGGAAGTCTTACAATCATCTTCTCTTCTCTTGTGTCTTCACGCTTCATACAAACTAATCCTCAATCTTTAAAACTTAAACTCGAACTCTTCTCTTGAATCGAGCTTCTTTAAGCTTACTTCTTCTCATGTCTCAAATCAAGCTCTTCTCATATCTCGAACTGTCAACCCTTCCTATGTCTCGAACCATCGACTCTTCCCACATCTTGAATTTTCAACTCTTCTCACGTTGCGAACCTTCAGCTCTGATACCACTTGTTGAGAAACACCATAGCTCTGATACCATTTGTTGGGCTAAAAGCCTCCAATCCAATCATACCAGCGGAAACGAAATCAAACAATAAATCAAACACACAAGAGACAACAATTTAACGTGATTCGGTCCAACTGAATTACATCCACGGATGAGAAACAAGATCCACTAGTTGTAGAGAATTACAAACTTACATCAAATCATCAACCTCACTCAACAATCAATACTCATAAGACATTCTCAATCTCCTCTAGTCCTATGAAGTATTCTCTACCCAAACAAACACAAACCCAAACTCTTGTGCATCCTTTCAACATAACCAAACACATACCCATATGCTTCCATACACCATACCTATGTGAACCCTCTCAATCTCCTCTAGTCTACTCACAAACAAACATACACACCCATAAGATGTAGAGCCCCAATACTCCTATGAGGTGTCTATCCCACAAAATCCTACAACTCTCTTACATCTTTTTCTCATACCTAATCCTGTAGAGACTTCACCTATTTATAACCATACAAACTTGCCCATTAAGAATCCTTCTCCTCTTAGAATTTTTCTCTTGTAAGTCAAACTTACCTATTAAGAATCTCTTTCTTTTTAGAATTCTTTTCTTGCAAGTCAAACTTACCTATTAAGAATCCTCTTTCTCTTGAAATTTTTTTTTTACAAGTCTTCTTGTCCATCAAATAAATCTCTAACAAATTTCAAACAAATCTCTTATGAGATTTGAGTGAATATTTTCAACAATTTTGTGTCGGTGGAATCGTCCTTGTAATACTTTTTCTTTTGTTTGTGCTATTTTAATCAGTGCGTTTAATTTAGGTTGCTTTATGTCAAACTTATTCAAAAATTGTCTTCTTGAAAGATTAACATCTTTGTCGTTTTGTGCAGGTGGAATTCTCCTTGTAATAGGTTATCTTTTGTTTGTATCCATGAAACTCCTATAAGGAGGAGCTTTTCTCCGATGTAAAGAATGTAAGATACCCCTTGGGAAGAATATTCGGTGTGTTTTCTTTTATGGCTTTCTAAACTCTCCCCCTCAGTAAATCTTTCACCTTCAAAAGCTCGTTGATTCAATTACGGAGAAGTTTATCAATCACTGTTAAAAGTATTGTAGCAATTTCAACTTTTCAAGCTTGAGTTAAGTTCATTACAGGCAGGCCTCTACTGTTGATCTCCATGCCAGGAGGGCTGTAAAAGTTGTAAGTCTGCTTGCTTACTTTGGATTAACCCATTTGAGAAGAGATTAACTTCATTATTAACATATGGCACTCCAAAACTCAGAACCCTCTTCTTCCTCTGCTTCTACTTGTACAAAAGCTTTCTTCTCCACAGCTCCCCCTACCCTGAAAAGATCTACTGCCTCCAAGTCGCCATATAAGTATGAGATTTTTTACATAACAGGAGATCAGAAACCCCAAGATGCAAAACTTACCGATATAAATATTTATAAGGCTCTTTCTAATCCTTTTACTTCCTTCTTCAAACCTGTAAAAAATTTTCTTACTCGTTCTCCTCAAAAACCTAAAGTAGATATCCATGTCACTGGGTTTCAAGAGCATCCAATACCATCTGGGGAAGAAGAGCATTTTATCACTCTCCGAATCCCGCCTCAGTTTCAACGACGGTGGATTTCTCAAGGATATAGTTTAGTTCATTTTGGGGCCATTCGATTGGCTTTAACCTTCCATAACAGAAAAGGACTCCCAGTAGCCACTCGAATCGCCTTGCTTGATTCTAGATGGAAAAGTTATGAGTCTGCATGTTTAGGGACAGTCGAGACAACACTCAACTGGGGAACAGTGTGTGTGACTCTTTTCCCCAATTTTTGCATGTCCATACAAGACAGACTTTCGTTCGATGCCTTTGTCGTTCAAATCCAAATTATTGGAGCCCCTACGGACCCAGGCCTAATTCAAGCCACTCTTTATTCTCGGATGGCTTATAGAGCTCAAAATCATGATGCTCCTGACTTGCCAGTACCCTCTCCTTGGGACACTCCGCTCATCCAAATCGACTCTGAAAATGAATGCAACATCATCCACATCCCAGGTAATATCTCGAGGAAAGAACTTGTTTCCATACTTCCTGAAGTTTGGGTCACAAATTATGAAAATCGTCAAGGAAGAGCGTCCGACTCCGACCCAAACTAGTAATCCAATCGCACAAAATGCTGATGGAACCGTTACAATCAGATTTAGCCATTCAAATTGACAACCGAGCCCAATCACTCTTCCCACCCAATTCAATCATCCTGGATGTTTATTTGCAAATGGACTCGTGAATTGGCGATAGGTTAAGAGTCTTGTAAGTATTGGGCTCGTATGGGTGTGGTTGGGCCTGTGAGTAACCCTTTGATACTGCAGATTACAATTATATCACCTGTCCGTCCGTGTTGGTGAGTAGTGACTGACCTATTCAGGAGGATTTCATCGACCGGAGGCCAGACGCTTGGGGGAATGATTCTGTTTAGTTCAAAAAACTTAATCCTCTTGATGGTAAAAAAAATTCTGACATGAATGGAATAGGGATTGGTTCCATAAATTGCAGCATTAGGAAAATATTGAAAATGGTTCCTCTAATATAGTTGCATGGTAAGATGAAAAATGATATGAGCATCCCAACAGTCTTATCCACGCCTGTTTTGTCCATTGTAAATTTTTAACCAGAATGGGAGCATTCAAGGAAGTGTTCGAAACTTTAAGGCTAAATGACCAATTTGAATTTAGATATTTACGTGATTGTTTAATTCAAAATTAAATATTAAAATTTATAGAAATAAAAATTAAATATTATCAATTTATAATAATTTAAGATTTTTTAACGAAATTGATCTGTATACGCTATTAACTCTTTTAATAAAAACAAATGATAAAAAAAAGTAAAAAATCTAATAAAAAAACAAAGTTGACTCGTACAGAACAAAAAACTTTTAAATTAAAAAATTAATATCAGTTTCTTTCTTTTTTCATCTTCTCCACTCTCTTTTAGTCTTTTACTTTTTCAAATTCCCATAGCCTTCCACCATTTTTTATCAAATTTTCTTCATTTGTTCTTGTTCTTCAAATACCCATAACCTTTCAATCTTTTATTTTTCAAATACCCATAGCTTTTTGCTGAAAACTCTTTACTATTTCATCATATTTTCCACTAATTCGAAACCCATTTTATCTTGTGTGGGCTAGTGTAGCAAAAAAATGAAAAGCTGTAAAAAAGTTGGAAATTTCAATTAATGAGAGTATCTGTGGTGGAATGAAAGGGTTGAGCTCACTAAAGCTAAAGAGAAAGAATGTTGGTTGATGCAACAAGATTTGAAGACGGAGCAAACGAAATAAGAAAAATGTCCTGGAGCCTTGCGTTTTATGAAAGGCGTGAAAATGTATTGATTTAAATCAAAGTGATAGCAGTTTTATATTTACATGTTTCGTTCCCACAATGATTTCGTAACAAATTTTGTTTTTGCTTTATGTCTCTGTTATTCTCTATTTTTTATTATTTTGTAGCAGAATTGTTATGTTGCTGGGAAAAAAAATTTTAATTGAAATTACCTTTAGATTTTAATTCATTCATCTACAATAAAAACATAAACTTTACTTTCATATATGTTTAACATATGTTTAGGATTCATATATGATACTTTTCAGAGAAATGTGATTTGAAAAATAAGGGAGAGTGGATGTGGGAGAAAGAGAATGAAGTGGTAAAGAGAGGAATGGGAAAAAAAGGGAAGTGAAAAACTATTTGTGCCAATTAGATAGCCAAATCAACAAAAAAAGTCAAATCAATTTGATATTAAGCCTTTGAAGTTATATTATGGTGCGTATGTTTCACACAAATTTTTTTATCTAAAAAAATCTTAAATTATTATAAATCGTTAATATTTTATTTTTATTTATATAAATTAAAATATTTAATTTTGAATTAAACAATCACACAAACTTTAATCTTAAATTGATCAATTAGTCAAATTTTCACAGGAGTCGGACTTATGAGAGAAGGAGTGGGTGCCATGAGCCCTTTAGTTATTTCTGAGCAGTCCCTAAATCTATTAAAAATGGGTCAGAGATTTTCAATATCCATATCTATGGCAATGTAATGGATGTGACAAAGGTACCAAATTAAACAAAGAAAGGAGTTCTGTGAAAAATGTATGACATTCTGGGGTTAATCCCTATAGGTTGGTGGTATATCTTTCTTTCACATTTTGATCCTTGGAAAAGTTTTTTCAGATTCTGGGAGGTTCTAGTTCGACACAGTTAAGTATTCTGTTGAGTTGGTGATTGGAAAAAGCAGAAAATTCTCAACAAAAATCCGCTCTCCCTAATGTTTTCTATGCTATGTAACCCCAGGTCATATTTGGGAGGATATTTTCTTTATAACGAAGAGAATGTATTTTCTCAACGAAGTTAAATGCAAATCAAATGTAGTTGCTGTAAGTTTTTTAACAGGGTATGCACCTATATCCCCTTCCAACAAGGAAAAATAGAGAGAAGGCAAAAAAAAAAGAGATGGTGCTGGGTGAAATGGAGTCCAATAGATAGTGTTAACATCTTTCGGTTATTCTCATTAACCGGAGTAGATACGAAGCTGGCCGGACTGGATGGGTATATCCAGAGTTTCAGGATACAGAAATACAACTAATTACATTTACAAGAAGAAAATGACACAAACAGTACCAGACTCTTTAGGCACACTGTAGTGCCATCCGTCACTCATAAACTCAACCTATATACATTATTAAAGCCATTAAAAAAGGGGAAAGGGGAGGCCCATTTCTTGCTCCATGATCAACCATCTTCTTGAATGACTGAACGTGGTTCCAAGCAGGTACCTTACTGTTATCATACCTTATAATGTGAAGGAATAATGGAAAATATCAAAAATTGAAGAGAACTGCTGAAGGAGACGCCAATATGGTGAATTTATAAACCAAATACCATTTTGGAGTCCTATATTAGACAATTGCAGTTCATAGGTCATCACCGTTGTGATGATGCATTCGTTTTTGGACAGCTTTCACAGCCACTACTCTGGCAGCATTGGCTGCTTTGTTTGCAGCTGAGACAGCTTTATTCACTCTCTCATCAATCCTTGCAATGTCATAAGCTTTCTCAGCAGCTCGCCGTGCTTCCTGTATGCAGGACAGCAAATTATAAGAGAACTTATATTGTAGTTTGTTATTGGTAGAAGTTATCTTTGGCACTCTAAGTTATATATTTTAGCATTCGAGCAAATTTTCATTGAAATAAGAACATTACAGGCAGAAAGTTTTTATGCAAAGAGCAAAGGAATGATATATCAACTGTTAGTGAAGCCAGATATAGGCCAGACAATGATACGAACGATACCTGAACAGCATTAAGGACTCTGGATTGAGTGACAGCATAAGGGGATCCAAGATGGGTGTTTTGTGCACTAAGAATCTCGAGAACCCCATTCTGCCAGTGACCAGATTGTGTCTCACCATTTCTGAAAGTATATGTACCAAATCCCTGCCTTCTTCCCTCATGCCAGGCTCCCTCATATCGGTGTCCATTTCCAAATTGATAAACTCCAAAACCATGCATCTTGTCAGCAAAATATTCCCCAAAATATATGTCTCCATTTCTGCATTAGGATCACAAAATTGAACAGTCATTAAAACTGAAATCTACATTTAGACATATGGTTGTATCCCATAATTACTCAATAAATGATGACTCTAAGCTCCAGAGTAATTTTCAACCAGTTTGAAAATTCCAAACAAGTAATTTTCAACCAGTTTGAAAATTCCAAACAATGAAAGAACAACCTGCCGGACATTTGGCTCAATGGTAAGTGCATGAATCCCTTGCTCGAAGAGCAAGGTTTGAATCCCCCTTCCCCCAAATCAAAAAATAAAAGAATAATCTTTTATTACCGTACTCCCCACAAAGAAGCAATTTGAGAACCTTGCACGGATGGCTTTTATCAACAATATCAGCATTCAAAAGCCATAGAGCTCAAAAGCCAAAAGTCAACAGTCTTTTGAACTCTGTGCTGCAACTTCACTAGGTGAGAAGTAGTTCAATAATCGAAAATAAGTCGTCTATTCTATATCTACAGCCTGATACTAAAAGACTAAAAAATGTGAGATTTAACCATCAGAACATATGAATAACACGAGCTCTAACTACCAGTTTCCAAATCTATAATTAGAACAAACAATACCGTATCCAAAGACTCCAAAATTGTACAGATCCGAATTAAATAACTCAAGATAGTGAAATAGAAACACAGCAATCAAAAGTTCCAAGCCTCTGGTGCTTTCCCCACATTCAAAGATCAAATATATACCAGACTAAGCAACATAAAAATCTAATAATCTTTTTTTACTTAATCTATCCAAAGAAGAAAGATCAAGAATTCACCTGAAATGGTAATGACCAAGCCCATGCTTGACACCCCACTTGAACTCCCCCACATACTTGCTGCCATCCTTACAAGTATGCACTCCACATCCATGACACTGCCCATTAGACCACTCCCCAGCATAAATATCACCAGTATAAAACCTATACACCCCAATTCCATGCCTCAATCCCTGCCTATATTGACCACGATATCGGCTCCCTTTTGCCCATGTTTCCACACCATAACCATCATATTTCCCATCAATCCAATCCCCCTCATACCTCCCCTTCATATTGTAATAATAAACCCCACTCCCTGAACATTTACCTTTATGAAATTCACCCTCATATACATCCCCATTACTGTAAGCCTGCACCCAAGTTCCCGAATTCGCCTTTTTCTCCGAATTTGGCTTTGACCCAATTGACCAAACAACAGTTTTTGAAGATTTAGAAGATGAACCTAGTTGACTAAACTTAGCAGGTAATGAACGAGCAAGAAGTAATCGAATCGAAGGCAAGCGAGGGAGTGCAAGGTTAAGAGAAACCAAAAGGGTAAGAGAGAAAGCAAGCAAAGCAAGAAGATTTAACAGAAAAAACCGACGAGGATTGGCAACCAAGAAGTAAAGTGAAGGAAGAGATAGCAAAACCAGAAAACGTAAGTGGAAACAGAGCAAACGACCACGGTTCAAATGATGAACAAGTTTCCTACCAAGTTGTTGAGTATCAAAAGGAATAGCAAAATATGTAGAACAAGAAAAAGATTGAAAAGGAGAAGAATTTGAGGCTAATCTTTCAACCCTTTTGCGGTGGTTATGGTGGTTCTTGAAAGAAGGAGGAGTTGGGGAATGAGAAAGAGGATTATGGGTCATTATAGGCCTCTTGTGGGGAGTTGAGAGAAGGGTATGAGTTGGAGAAGGGGAGGGTTCATGATGGTGAAAGTTGGGGTTTTTATGATGATGGGTTGTAGTTATTGTTGTTGCTGGTAATGGTGATGGGTTTGGTGATATGGGTGTGAATGGGATTTGGACGGTGAGATGAGGCTTGTTTGGAACGGAAAAATCAGGACTTTTTTGCGGGGTTGATTCAAGGTAGTTTTGATTGAATTGATGAGAATAGAAGAGATTGAAATCGGAAGAGATGCAGTTGCTGCTTGCTTTTCCGATCTCTTGTTGTTTGCTAGATTCCTTCTGATGCATTTACATAAAGAAAACCCTCTCCTGTTTCTGTCTGAATCTTCTCTCTATCTTGGTTTATAACTGTTAGTCAGAAAGTGTCGTTTGAAGGCAATTTCCGCTCTATCACAATCTGTGTGTATAATTTTTGTGTTTTAATTCTGGTTTTTGGTTTTGGTTTTGATGTCTGGTTTTTGTTCAGGGACGAAAACCAGCTTCCGGAAGCAACATACATTTGTGGGTTGACAGGGCTTCTTTCTCAAAAACACCCTGGTATTGCTTACATTTTCGTAAATGCCACTGCCTCTTTTTTCCATTTTTTCCCAAAAAATGATAATTTTGAATCCTTTTATTATTAAAAAAAAAAACCTTTTGTAAATATATAAAATAATATATATCATGGAAATAATTGTTAGACTTTGCCATTGTGTGATACATTTCATTTATCTATAGTCTAAAAATATTGAATCGAGGGAAAGAAATATAAAAAGGAGATGGATTCGGTTATAAAGTAAAGATGACATGATCTTTTGATAATCATAATTAAAAAAAAAAACACAATTAAATAATTATTATATGATCTTTCAGAAAAAAGTAAATGAACTCAGGCTCATACCATCTTCCACTTACTTTAAATAATAGTTGAGATTATAAAAAAAAAAGTGCTTAAGTTTGAATAAAATATTGCTTAATAATTAACAATAATGTTGAAATGTCAACCAGAAGATGGACATCAATTATCAACAAACGCACCACTACTCATTTAAAATGTTACAATTAAAAAAAAAAACACATAGATTACATCTTATTTTATTCGAATTCCACTCAATAAAATTTTGATGACGTGAATTATGTACTATTAAATTAATTAAATTTTATTTTTATGTATATTATTTGAGGGCTTAATAGAAGATTTTTTTTAACCATACAAAATTTTCAAATTTTATTCAAATTATTTTTTTCTAAATCAATTCAAATAAATTTATTTATGTTACAAGTTTAAAAAAAAATTATATTTATTAATCTTCTTAAAAAACTCCAAATAATTAAAAAATAAAAAAATTTTTATCACTTATATAACAATCGTTCATAAAAAAAATACATTTGAATGGTATCGTCAACATCTATTTATCACCACTAGTCAAATATTAGTGTATTATTCTATTGTTTTGAAGGGAAGAGAGGTATAAACCCAAAAAGAAGCAATAGGCAATTTTGTAAATTTTGGTACAAATAGGGGTGATTACATGGAGAATTGACCATAGGTTTCAGTGGTCTCTTAGCCCCATCTCCGAACTCGGCTTCAAAACCCGTTCAAAAAGGGCAGCTTCGGTTAGCGGTCAACCATCCCATCTGCCACGTGGCTCTTTTTTATTCCACGTGGCATATTGTTTCTCACTTTTTTTTTTAGTAACCCCTGCCTTTAATTTACTAAATTTGCCACTTACATTTTCATTTTCTTCAATTTTCCCCTCCTTTGGTCATTTCATTGGATAAGTTGCTGAATCAGAATGATATAAAAGTTCACAATATATCCATAACCTTTTTTCCTAGAGAGGTTCGAAGTTTCAAATTTGAGTTTTAGCTAAAATACATTTTAATAAGTTATATAGAAATTTGGCATATCAATATACTTTTTCATAATATGATTAAATTCATTGAATAAATTATAAAGAAATTAACCATTAATAGTATTATATTTTTTTTATAATACAATCAGGTATTTTTAAACTTTATTTAAATCTTATTTTTTTCAAATGAACTTTACCACATCAATATACCAATTCTCTTATTATTAATAATGGCGGATATCATCAACATTCATATTCCAAACATATCCAATTTTTAAAATAAAAATATTTTATATTATACCACTATCAATTATGATCAGTAGATTTGTGTACGGGTATGATAATTAGTCTGTCAAACTCTCCGGGCAAACTCAATATAAATCGAGTCTTGAACAACATTTTGAAGTTTGATTTTAAATTTAATATGATTTGATTTAGTATATTACTTAATTAAATAAATATATAATTTTTTAATTTTAAAATATTAATATAAAATAACTTTTAATATTTTAATAATTTTTAAATAGTATTAGACCGGAATAGAGTGAGCTTAGTAATAAAATATTACTTTAATGGACCTATCACGTGCCTTCCAACACATTGCACATACTTATGCTTAAGGGTGTACCTCTTAACTCTAAAGTTTGGACCACTGGAATATTTGCAAACAAGCTGTCTCTAAATAAAATAGATTTTTTTTTTTAAACTTCAAATTGTGCTTTCAATCCTTTCTGAACAATTCTTTAATGTTTTCGAATTTAATAACGTACCTTGATGGCTTCTGGGGCACCTAAAGCTAGAAAAAAGATAATGAATTTCCTGCAATTCAAGGGGGAATTATATATCAGTTAATAATTTCAGAATCATTATACAAAAGTTTATAATTTTGGAAAAATTATGTCCAAAGGGGAAAAAAAAATGGATGTTTCCTTGGGGCATCTCTTAATGAAAACTAATACATAAAAATATTTGATACAGGATTGTAAACTGAGTTCAAAATGTGATTAATTAACTTAGAATTTGCCACCCAATGGTGCAATTAAAAAGAAAATTCATGATTCATACAAGAAAGTATTAAATAAATGCAAACCAATGTATTCCAGCCATTGGAAAATGAGTATTTCTTTTACAAATAAAGTTGTAATTTAAGAAAATAAAAAGAGATTGTAAATATTAAGATTTAAATTTTAAATTTATTAAATAATATTTTAAAAATAATTATATTAATCAATTAAATTAATTTCATATTAAAAAAACTAGTATTTCAATGACCTTAATATTTTACCTTAATGTTCCTTTGTCAGCCTACAAACATGTGCTAAATCCTATAAAAATTTGATATTCCATGAATTATTATCCAAAGTCCAAGAATTCTTACAAATCAAGAGACTAAAATATTCTCAAACAATATCAGATAACTGTTGTGAGGTGGTTTGTAACTGTCTGAACTATAGACAAGACCCAAGACCATACCTCTATCTTTATATAAATTTTATTTCATAGTTTTAGGATTGGTCAAAAGAATTGGAGGTGAACCCTCCACATCCCAATGGCAAAGCAACTGGAACTGGGTGGCCTTGCTTTGTTCTTATCTACCACCATGTTTGTCTTTGCCTTTGCCTTTGCTTCTCCTTTCCTTTTCATATAGCCTCCCACAATCCATACTATTGTCCATTTCATCCATATCTCATCTCTCTTTCATGCTTACACCATCTGCTGATAAATTGCATATCCTATCACTTTGGGATGCCACTATTTTCTTATCCATATTGATATTTTTGTTATTAATTTGTCAATACAAAATATTTCATTCGATAAAATTTAAGGTTTCATTATGAAATTCTAAAATTCGAATTTTAACATCAAATGGTTTATGTAATCCAAAATTATATGTATTAATTCAAATAAAATATAATGATAAGCCTCATAAATTTTAATCTTAAACTATGCAAAATGATACGAGTTTGATTGAGTTTTCTGGTATGGGATTGTGAATGAGATAAGGAACAGAAAACTACAGAATGTGAGAAAAGGATGGAAATGGGATCAAGCAATTGATACCCAAGAATAAAACCAAAGGTCTTGTATCTTATTTCATTTTCAAAAGGATGTAAGCGATAAAACCCAATTTAAACTTGATGGTGAAAGTTTAGAAGATCAGACAACTATTATTATATCATCATGTGAAAACTTGCACACAAAAATATTGTCAAGTCTATTTGATCAACAAATATGCCATGTCTACATCTGAGAATAGGACAACTGATCATGATTCATGTATGTGAAAGGTTAGTTGAGTTCAATCTTCTTGCTTTTTAAAAAAAATTTTTTTTTTCTAGTTCCTTAATTACTAGCTTAGAATCTAAGATTAATTTCTAATAATTGATTAGGAGAACTTGTCAAATTGGGCACTTGATCATGATTTAGATAAAAGGGCTAAAAGTTGATGAGAGGCTTGAGTAGAAAGCAAAATCAGCCGAAAAGTTAGAATTTTATCATCACTTTTGAAAAGGATATCTCTTCATTTTCATTACATGGTTTTAGGCTCATTTTTGGTTACTTGGGAAAGTTTAGGTCAATAACAAAATGATTCACTTGGATGAATATGTAAGCTTAGCCTGTTGGAGTCAAATTCTTTATGCAAGTGATTTAAATGCTTAAAGGATAATCAATAAATCTTGCATATATAGTTAATCATCCTAATTACTCACATGGATTAATCTAATTGATAAAAAGACGAATCCTTTTTTTTTGTCAACCAAGATTTAATATCTGTGAAAAGTATTTTAAAAATAAAATTCTAATTAAAAGCAAACAAAATTTAAGAACACTCTGACCATATTATAAAAAAGAAATCCTAATTATTTTTTTGCTTACCTTAAAAAAAAATTGTGAGATGAAATTTTATAAGAGAAGGTATAAAAATCCAATACCTTTAGAAAAGTAATTCAACAGCTTTTGCACTTTTAGACCCACATGAGGCTCCACTCTTTTTGTGCGAGCGCGAAGGCGATGGCAAGTATCATTGATGGCATAATGGAGTAGCTGCATACAAGCACAAAGATAAGCTCATTACAAGACATTGATTTTGGGGACTGTTGGGACCATATTCAAGAATAAGTAGAACAAAGACATATTGGCTTAGCTTTTCATTTCTTGGTATGTCCTTTACCAAACATATGTGTTCTTAGGACAGCAATTTCTACGTATATAATAGCTTTAATTCTGTTCTTTGGAGCAAAATAAAAGCTCCTAAATCAGATGAGTAAGTGCCAAAGTCAAGACTAATGCTCAAGCGTTGAGAAATAGTGGGCCTTTTTGTTCGAAAGAAGCCTTTACAAGCCCAACGTGGCCTGTCCCCTTTTAAAACAATTTCTGACTTCCGACCTTTCTTTACTTTTTGACTAATTCCATCCTTTAATGGGAAATTAATTACATTGTCCATTTACAAGGCAGATCCTCAGCCTTGTCTGCAACAAATGAGAGCCCAACAGAAAATGAAAAGGACTAATTTGATTGTGCAAGAGCTCAATGCTCCATATTCTCCACCATCCCGTCTGTGTCCTCTTTCTCTCACTTGTATGAACTCAAACAGGAAAAGGGGAGAAGTGTTAACAACATCACCATAACCAAAAAGCTTAATCCAAGATTACATTGGTTTCATTTTTCAGTTTCC